AGCATGAGTGGAAGTGAGGGGCAGAGGGAGAGAGAGACAGTATCTTACTCAGGCTCCATGCTCAGAATGGAGTCCAACATGGGGCTCAATCTCACTACCCCAGGATCATGACCTGAGCAAAAGTCAGGAGTCGGATGCTCAACTGACTGAACGATCCAGGTGCCATATATCCTAGTTTTTGCATAGGACAGGAAACACAAGCCCTCTGTATGCACAATGAAAGTTGCCAGTTCAGCCAGGATAGGTCACATGGTTCTCTGTTTGGCACACCTCTCTCCCATGCAAATCAAGCCCTGCTCATCCTTCAATTGCCACCTACTTACATAAAGCTTTTGCCTTGGCCTCTCAGCAGAAAAGATTTTATCCTGCTTTCTCTGAATTCCCATAAGTACTTTATGGAAAATAAATCTTGTGTTATCTATCCCTTTCTATCTCTATTACAGGTGGTTCTGCCTTCTTTATTCTAAAATGTTGAAATGGGGGACAGGTTCCATTCTTTACTTCTCCTATGATACTTACCTTAGTGTATCACAACATTAAACAAGAGAGCTGGCCTCTCTTAAGACCATTTCCTCACCAAATGGGAAGAAAAATACTTATTTCACAAGGCCCCTACATGTTTCCCTGAAAACCCATTATTAACTACAGCAAGTTACTTGAACATTAGTTGTCATCATGGTTATCACTGACCTTATAGCTGTCTGTTTAAAACAATCAAAGTTACCAGTGGTGTGTACACAAGGATCCCAGCCAGGAAGCCATGTATCAGTGGCACAACCTGAGAAATTTTAACATCCAACTGCCCTTTATTAATCAAACACTGAAGTGTTAATGTTAATAAAAGCACAAAAGAAATAGTAAAATGATACACCCAGCAAAATGTTTTACATTTTCAAAGAATTTAATATTAGAATATGCACAGTATGACTATGCTAAAGAAAACCCACAAGAGAAATATGATCAAAACAAAACATTATGCACAGAAATATTATATACAATATTATAAGTAATGGCAACCTTTTGGTTATGAGACTTCAAGTAAAAAGAACTGTTTTCTACTTTTCCATGCTTGCTAATAAGGTATAATAGCCATTACTGTCCTCACAATAGAAAGAATAACACAATGTTTTCATATTTCTGTATTATACTACTCCCCAGAACAGTGTTCCTGTAACCAAAGAAACATGGTGCTGGAAGCATGGTCAAGAACCAGGAGAGCAGCTGGCTGCCCTTAGGGCCCACTGGGCCACAATCTGCATGGATCCCACGTCTCACAGAGGTGTGTAACCTGGGTCCCAATAGGACTTTATTTGGAACATATGTCACTGATGGCACCAGCCAGCTAAGTGACATCATCCACTCTGGGAAACTAGAGTTTTTTGTCAACATTGGGAGCAGTTACCAGGAGACAAAAAGCAGAGAATATGTAAATTAAATCCTCCAGGGAGCCGGATTCAAAAGCTACCCTCTGGGGGCGCCTGGGTGGCTCAGTCAGTTAAGCGTCGGACTTCAGCTCAGGTCACAATCTCGCGGTCCGTGAGTTCGAGCCCCGTGTCGGGCTCTGGGCTGATGGCTCAGAGCCTGGAGCCTGCTTCAGATTCTGTGTCTCCCTCTCTCTCTGCCCTCCCCCGTTCATGCTCTGTCTCTCTCTG